ATCTCCCTTTTGCGCAGACGCAAGTCACCACAAAATAATAGTACTGCTTTAAAGGTATTCTCCTATTTCAAAGATATTGACATCGATCTCCGTCCTGGGGGGACACACATACTTTGAGCCATTTGGTAATCGAACCCGGTGCCGCGCGAATGCAGATCGAGGCGTGGAAGGGCCGACCGTGACCCTGTGATGTGTTGGCATTAACGCGTGTAGGAGTGAGGTAGTGGATACAGAACGAATACGGCGAAGGAAGGAAGTGAGGGGGTGAGAGAGATGAGGGGAGGGAGGATTGGGGGGGAGAGGGGATTAGGGGTAGGGAGAAACAAAGAAAGAAGTCGCTTTCCCCTCCCACAGAACACGTCAGTTGAATCACGTAATGGTTTTTATAGTTCGACGAATAGGCAGGCAGTTATTCTAAGAAGTTGCACAGAACTGCTTTGTACGTTTAGTTTCAAGAGTGATAATGGGTTTCTCTACCTTGGCGCGTCGGAAAGTTTTTTTGTTTTTTTTTTCGAGGGGGATCTACGTCCTTTACGTGTGATGTCAATTGAGTTACCGCATTACTTTTCATGTACCTACCGAAAAGATTTTCAATACATCTGATTTTTAAATGCTCAGAGGAAGAGACGACGATGATAATACGTAAATGCTCTCTGACATGCCATATAACAAGATGGGGTTTATCTTTTAATTAAACTGATAGTTAGCGACAACATTCTGAATATTTGTTTATGAAAAGCGAGAAAACTAATTCGCCTAATGACAGTAACAAGAGAACGCGTATAAAATCAGTAAAACATAAATTTCTGTATTCGTTAACAGTCATCGGTACCGAACGACAGGAACGAAATCTATACAACAATTAAAAAAAAAAATGTTGCGTGGCTATTACGTAATTGGCTGTGTCCTGCTTCGACGATGTACCGTAGAGACATTACCAGCGCTGGCAGCGGATTGTGCTAAAAGTAGCTCTGTAGGAAAGTGGGAGGAGTTATTTCTGTGTTCCCAGATCGAGCGGTGTTGGTGGAAGACAGTTCAAGAAAGCGTAGAAACAGTTGCCGGCTGTCTCGTTCTCTTTTCACATAAGAGATGGAGTGACCGGTCAGCTTTAGACCAGTGTTCCGGAACCTTTTTCGTATCACACGCGGCACACCCAGATTTGATTAAATACTTTTAAAAAAATGGCGGTACGGGACTGGCTATAAATATGTATCTACATATAAATATTTTCCCTATGAAAACAAAATATATCTATGATGGAAGATTTTATTAACTGTAACGTGTGAATATACGGTTTATTGTAAAAAAATTCCCGACAAACCTGAAATCTTGCTGTGGTTAACCGGTTGTATCTAGCATGGACTGGAATCTGATATGTCCCGTTTTTACCTTGGATCTACCAATATCATATTACGAATCTAAGCTAAGATATAATGGCAATAAATTATCTCCTTCAAGATGACTGAGTCCTGTGTATTTTGGTACTAGTTTCCCCACGTTTCACAGATCCTTGCTGCTTCCATCATCAAGACGAAACGTAAACATCAACAAGGTTATCTTAAACGTCGGAAAACTTTTATCAAACTACACCACGCATCAACCCAGAAGGCATGCCACGTCACGGGTGTTGCCAGTTTGACAATCGAGGGAAGGCAACGTTGGAATCCAAAGTAATCCGAAGTCATTGTTTCAGCCCTGACATCTGTTGGCATCTCTGCAACATTATATATAACATTATTTATTATTATTTAGTGTTCTGTCTGACGACAGGTCCATATGAACAGGATCCTTCCATCCTTTTCTCGGACTGGGACCTGTTCATATACGTTCTTGGCAGATGATCCAGAAGTGGTTTGCCATTGCCTTCTTCTGTGTGTATGGAGTAATGAGTAATTGTTGGGATGCCACGGAGAAACCGGGGAAGCCCCCGGAGGAAAACTCCGGGTTGCCTAGACCACGGCCTTGCCCAACAAAAAATAATGTTATTAAGACGGCTATAATTAGCGTCTCAAATATACAACTCTTAAATAAGGTACCATTACCTATCGTCACTTCAGGTACAAGAATTTGCAACATGGAACATAGGAGTAGAAAATGTTTGTTACATTCAGTGGGGAAGGATCTCACCAGATACAGTAGGATGGTTCCCAGTGTGTTGAATAACGAGCCATGGAATAGCACAGGAACTTGTTTCTGGTAGTCGAAACACCTGGAAAGTGATCTGTCTGGTAGATACGTTGTGGAGGTTCCAAGTCTGAGAGTACAGGGCTGTATCACCACGGCAGAATCATCAGACGCAAGCAGATGAGGCAGTCTTGCATTCGCGAGTGGCTTGACTGACAACCAAGGAGATGTTCGTAGCATCATTCTTTCTCTACAGCGAATTGGTGATGTTCGTTCTAACCGCTAGACCACCGTAATCTCTCGTTGTATACCGCGATCTCTGAATGTGAATTAATTTTGAAACAGCCGATCTGCAACCGAATTAACCAGCTCGTTGCCAGTCTCGTTATATTTAGCCCAGATTCATGGGATAATTCACCTTACTCTGTCGTCGATTTTGGGGCACCTTATCGTAAGCGGCTCACGTGCGTCACAGGGAGATAAACGCGCTTAGAGCAACAACGGCGTAAGTAGCATCGCTTCTTGAATTTCAGTTATTTATATTGACTCCCCTCGCAGTTCGTGGACTAACCTATGGGAACAGTCCAATAGAACTTGATCAAAACTGATACCCGGTCCCTTGCACCGTGGATCAGCGCGAAGTTTGCGTATGCCCGGGGTTCAGTGGCGTGCGGATGTACGTACGTATCAGCGATTTGACTAAGAAGTTTAAAACGTGTGAAATTAGTAACCGTTTTATATTACGTATTAAATTAACCGCGAAAAGACTGCGTTTTCCCTACGCACAAAAGACAAGAAAATACTTAAGTAAATTATTTAACGACG